GACTCGGCAGCCGAGTTTTGGAGTTTGGAAGCCGGAGAAGAAGTTATGCTCGGAGCCCGTAGGAGGGAACAGGCGCTCACGCAACCCCTCTCTCCAGCCGGGCAGAGCTCCATGCATGCACCTGCCCTCCCACAAAACCGTCCCCTCTTCACTCCCTCCCCTCATGCCAGGCCGCCAACCCGGAAGGATTGGGAAACTAGATTGAGGTGACAAATGTCACATAAAGAAGGAAAATAAACAGATAAGCAGACTGTCTTCTACTATCTGGAAGATGTCCTCCGAATACTTCCGACCACAAAGGTTATTCCGCAAATGAATCCAACCCAGAGCAAAGAAACGGTCACGTACCCAGAGCGGTCACGTGTTGAGAATTTTCCAGCATGACTTCCCTGTGCAAAGCTTTTTGGTTGGAATCCAGAATCTCCCACTCCTCCGCCACAAAATACACAGCCACCTCCTCAAAGGACACGGAGGCCTGGAAGCGGAAGGAAATGTTCTTTTAAGAGAAGCCCCAGGAAGGATTTCTTGAAAGTTCTGTTCCTCGTTTTGACACATTCTAAAAAAGCAAATTTGGCCAAGGAGGAAACAGGCTTTTTCTTAAAGATAAGAGCAGAACCAACCTAGAACAAGGAGAAATTTCCTGACAGTGAGAACAATTAATCAGTGGAACAACTTGCTTCCAGAAGTTGTAAATGCTCCAACACTGGAAGCTTTTAAGAAGAGATTGGACCACCATTTGTCTGAAATGGTATAGGGTTTCCTGCTTGAGCAGGGGGTTGGACTAGAAGACCTCCAAGGTTTCTCCCAAATTTGTTATTCGGTTGTTCTGTTATATTACTGATTTTTTTAAAAAATCTGCCTCTCAAATGTTGACATTGGTGCTCAATGTGCACAAAAACTGGAATTCTTAATCCTGGCTGGAATACCACAATGAAACAACTTTGACCAAGCCCTCCCTTGGCCCAGAATGCTATAACCAAAATGCTCACAGGAATACAACTGTCCCATCACCGGTTCACCGACAAATGTGTGACAGACATATGCGCACCGACAAAACCGTGACGGACAAATGAGCGCCGTCAAAATCGCTAATTGATTTTCGACAACAGTGCGCCGACAAATGCACGATGACAAAATTGTGTCATCAACAAACTATAGACAGCCCAGTGAGTGTGCTGGGCCTTTAACATAGTGGGACACGTATACGTACGTTACAACGTATGTTATAATGCAGTCAGCACACACCAGTTGAATAATACGTTTTAGTCATACTGAAGCCATGGATATTATTAAGTCACAGAAAGGAAAACAACAACTGCTGTATGAAGGATTTCGATATCGACGGGTGATCTTACGGACTATCTGCGTGCCGTATGTCATAATATTGACATCTAAATTAATTCTAATTATTTAGTGACATAATAAATTTTTACTGCTGAGTTTTTAAATGGTGTGTGGCAGGGGTGGGTTTCTCGCCCCGTTCCAACCGGATCGGTTGGAACGAGGCCGGCGGCGTCCTCGTGCATGCACGCGGCGTCCTCGCCCACGCACGTGGCATCCTCGTGCACGCACGCGGCGCGCACGTTCACACATGCGGCG